GGCTGAAGTCAGGAGGACCTGAGTTCAAATCCGGCCTCAGACCAAACACTTCACGCTTACTAGCTGTGTGACCCTGGGCAAGTCACTTAACCCCAACTGCCAAAAAAAAAAAAAAGAACAAGACGCTCCATTATTCTGCTTCTAGCATTTTCACTGGCCGTCCCCCACACATCTGGAATATTCTCTCCCTCAACTCCACCTCCTTAATTCCTGGGCTTCCTTCAAGTCCCAGCTAAAATTCCACCTTCTCAAGCCCTCTTAATTTCAGTGCTTTCCTTCTGATTGCTTCCTATTTATTCTGTATACAGCTTGTTCGTACAGAGTTTAAATTCATATACTATCTCCCCCCATTAGATTGTGAGCTCCTAGAAGATTGTTGTCCAGTTGTGCCTAACTCTCCATGACCCCATTTGGGGTTTTCTTGACAGATACTGGAGTGGTCTGCCACTTCCTTCTCCAGCTCATTTGACAGATGAGGAACTGGGACAAATAGAGTTAAGTGATGTGCCCAGGGTCACACAGCTAGCAAGTATCTGAGGCCAGATTTGAACTCAGGAAGATGAGTCTTCGAGTCTTCGTTACTTCTGGCCTGATGCTCTATCCACTCTGTCACCTAGCTGTTTTTGTCTCTCTTTGTATCTCCGGCTCTCAGCACCACAGTAGGTACACCGGCACCTAGTAGGTGCTCACTGACAGCCTCCGAACAATCCCAGCTTTAGGCTCAGCATTTAACTAGTAATGTTAAGGGGCAAATCATAAGACAGTTGAAAGAGACCTTAGATTTTACCTAATACTTAATCCAATCCCCTCACTTTATAGATAAGGAAACAAAGATCCAGGTTTTGACTTGCCCTGAAGCCACTCAGCTAAGGTAGATGAGCTAGGATTCCATTCCAGGAGTTACTGACCTTTTTCAGTCTCAGTAAGCCTTCCTGTACTCCCTGTTCAATATGAATAAATTCGAGAATTTACCAGGTATGTGCACAGAAGAAAGAGAGAATAACTTTTCACAAGGAAAACTATTTGATACATAGCTTTTTTTTCCCCCACCAGCACTACTTCTAGAATATTTCAATAGAATAATCTGGTTATCTACAAAATATTCTCCATTCCCCCTTGGCAGGATTCTCACACTCCTTGGAGGTACATTTACCCTAGGTTGGGAACCTTTCCACTGCACTAAATCCCAGTTTCTTTATCTGTAAACTGGGAGTAATAATACACTATTTCCTGGTCCCCCTTAATGCTAGTTAATGCCTTCCTTCTGAGATTATCTCCACTTTATCCTGTATATATGTTGTTTATACATCGTTGCTTGCATGTTCTCCTCGCCATTATACTGTAAGTTCCTTGAAGGCAGTGACCATTTTTGCCTTGCTTTGTATCCAGAACTTAGCACAATGCCTGAAATATAATAGTTGTTGTTCAATCATTTTTAGTCCTGTCCAACTCTTCATGACCCCATTTGGGGTATTCTTGGCAAAGATACTGGGTGGTTTGCCATTTCTTCCTCCGGATTATTTTACAGATAAGGAAACTGAGGCAAACAGGTTTAAGTGATTTGCCCAGGGTCACACAGCTAGTAAGTACCTGAGACCAGATTTGAACTCAGGAAGATGAGTCTTCCTGACTCCAGGCCTGTTATTCTATCCACTGCACCCCCTAACTGCTCATGATAGAGTGCTAGAGAAAGCCAAAAGTACCTACTATTCTTCCTCAAAGGGAGAGGCAGGAGATGGCATGTGCTACCAGTGCCCTGCCCCTGCCCAAACCATCAGCCTTGCTTCCAGAATGGCCCCCACAGCTCTTACTCTGGGAAGCAACTGTGTAAACAGGAGTTAGCAACGTGCTTTCCTCAGGACATTCTTGTGGGGCAGGTAACACAAGGGTCCCCATTTTACAGATGAGGAAACTGGGGCTTGGAGAGGGAAACTGATTTTTCCCAAGGTGACAAAGCTTGTTAAATGCTAAAATTCCATCTACTGACTCCATGACGCTGAAACACCCTGATTATGTATTCTATCCTCGCCAATATCTACGTCTGAACAAAAGCCTATAAATTTGTTTCCTTTATGAAATACAGAATGTTCTCCTGGGAAGCTAAGAGTCAGCCACAGGACCTATACTTCGTGCTAAACCTCTGGCATTAGCTACAAAGAGCTATGGACTTGGAGTCTGAGTACCTGGGTTCATATCATTACTGTCTCTGCATGACTTGGGGCCAATCAGCCTCTCTAGGCTAGATCACAAGGGTGTTGGACTAGATGGCCTCTATCTCTAAATCCATGATGCTCTAAGCCTTCTCTTGTGCCAACTATGAAATAATAGCATCATGTAGTACTTTTAAGGTCTCTTCCAACCATATCCTATAAACCAATAACTTAGCTGAGATCCTATCACATGCCATCTCCTGTCTCTCCCTTTGAGGAAGAATAATAGGTGCTTTTGACTTTCTCTAGCACTCTATCACGGGCAGTTAGGGGGTGCAGTGGATAGTGAGCCAGGCCTGGGGTCAGGAAGACTCATCTTCCTGAGTTCAAATTCGGTCTCAGGTACTTACTAACTGTGTGACCCTGGGCAAGTCACTTAACCCTGTTTGCCTCAGGGATCTGATGCAGAGAACTAAGGTAGGCAATTACCTAACAGAGAACACTTTAAGTAGGCAGAGCTAGACTGGGCAGGAGCAGAAAGCACTAATGTTGGGGGACTGAGGGTAGCACCAGGGCACTACAAGTTGGGAGTCAGTCAGTCAATAAACATTTATTAAGTGCCTATTATGTGCCAGGCATTGTGCTGAGTGCTAGAAGCCAAACTACCATCAATCTTAGCTTTACAAAAGGGGAAGAGATCACCCTTCCCCCCCCCGCCCTTTATTGCAATAGCATTCTATTTCCAAAACTCACATCTCAGTAGAATTCAGCTACACTGGGAATAAAATGGGCTTTTGTGGGCTGCCCTGGGACTACAGCCATAGCTCCAAATCCTGTTGCTAGGGGAATTGTGGTCCAAGCTCCAAACAACTGACTTACAAACAAACTTTTGGAACACTATCGGTTCCCACATCGGGGTCTCCAGGCAGTATGTGCAGCAATACTTTCAAAAGTTTCACCCACTAAACTGTTCTTTTCCTAACAAAAACTCCTCAGCAAATCCAAAACACAAACTACTTAATATTCTCTCCTCAAACCTAGGCTCTTGGCTGGGAGGGGGTGGAGTAAGGGGTGCTGGTCGTGGAAAAACCCTCTGAACTTCTTCCAGGTGCCACATAAAGATGTCATTATTGCCTATTTCGATGAGACACGAAAGCCAAGGGCATAGTTTCCACAACTGGTTTCAAAAGAGACCAAACACTTCCACTGCCAACTCCCTGGGCCTCCCCTAAATAAGACACGCTCTTCTTTGGGCCAAATCCCAGTCCGCAGATCCATGCAGTAAGAAAAGGGACTTAGAGAAGATCTGAAAGACAGCCTAAATAGCCTTGTCATCTCTGATCCTATTTGAAGGTGGGACCTTCAGGAGCAACACTGAACTCCAAAAGGGCAAGGGTTACACTACCCAGTTCACCTGAAAGACTGAAAAGAAATATTTTGCCACTCTTCTCCCTCCACCCTTCTTTTAACTTTTCATCTGTCTTTGTTACAAGAGATGGTTTGCTGGGGAAGTAGGGGTGGGTGGGTGGAGCGAAAAGAGACGCTATAAAAACAAAAGGCATCAAGTTTTTAAAAGAAGGAAAATGAATTGTTCTGAGTTTAAAAAAAATAATAATACCCAGTTTCATTTGGTCCATTGACCACATTAATAAACTAATGCCCATTCAAATGGCATGTGAAAAGCCATTTAGCATCTTCAGTTAGTGCTTTCTATCCTCAAGTTACCTTGTACCTGTATATATCTGTATACAAGTTACATTTCTGCCAATGGACTAGGAGGGGTAGAAGCTGCTTTTTGTCTTTACACCCCTAGGCCTACCACAATGCTCTTTGCCCAGAGCAGCAGCTTTAATAAACATTTGGGTTGAATTAAACCCAGTTCAATGCCCTCATTTTACAAATAAGCAAACTGAGATTCTGGAGACGAAGAGATGCCGAAGGGAGCAGAACTGGGATTCAAACTCTGATCCCACCCAGATAGACTCCCTAGCCAAGGTCATAAACAAACCTTCTGGGGATGTCTGAATTTCAGTTGGAAAACGCCAGTTCCTCCCAGCTCGAAGTTCCTTACAGTTTTGTCTGGCATGAAATCCCTGCAATTAAGCCTTGCCTGGTCCAAATGTTCCCACCCTCATTTGACAAATGAGAAAATTGATAATAAGAGCTGCTGTTCCTATAGCTCACCTCACAGCCCTGTGAGGAAGATAGGGCAGAACTTATTCACCAGATGAGACCAACATTACTAACTCATATTTCTAGGCTTTCTGGGGTCACGGAAAAAACACAGGACCCCTGGGTCCAGCAGACCTAAAGCTCCTTGGCAGGCTGCTCCTGGGCAAGCCACCTACCCGGAGTCTCTCAGCAGTCACTATTTCCTTAAGGCTTCATTTTTTCATCTGTAAAATGGGGACAATTGGGGCAGCTAGGTGGTGCAGTGGATAGAGCACCGGCCCTGAAGTCAGGAGGACCTGAGTTCAAATCCGACCTCAGACCAAACGCTTGACACTTACTAACTGTGTGACCCTGGGCAAGTCACTTAACCCCAATTGCCTAAAAAAGTAAAATAAAATAAAATGGGGACAATCATACTTGCTCGACATAAGTGCACTTTAGTAAGCCCATTTTATAAACTTAATGTACAACGGAAAGATGAACTTACAGCACTTTGGAGCTAAAGCATCTTCTTCACCACAACCCTGTGAGAGGAAATCTAGGTATCATTATTCCTACGTAACAGATAAGGAAAGTGAGACTCATAGAGTAGAAATGACTTGCCCAAGACCACATAATATAGAGAAACAGTGTTGTATGGCGGAAAGAGCAGTGGTGTCAAAGAACCTGGATCCTTACCAGAGCTTTGGTTCTGTGACTAGCGAGGAATTAGGCAATTTGTGTTCCCTCTCGGGACCTCAGTTTCCCCAGCTGTAAAACGAATGGGTTGGACTAAACGATCTCTACTGTTCCTTTCGGCACGAAAATCTGTGGCAGAGCTGGCGCTCCCAGGCCGGGGGCTCTTTCCGTCACCACCCCCGCTTCCGATTGCAACACCTGGATTCGAGAAAGGAAGGCGCAAAGAGTGACTCCCAGCCCTTCCGAGGCCCCAGGCGTCCAGCACGCGTCACTGGCCAGGCCCGGGACACTCACGCACAAGCTTCCAGCGCCCGCCTCAGCCAAAGAGCTGGCGTTCCCCCCCCCCCCCCGCCCAAGCCCAGCGGGCCACATGCCAAGCGGGGGCGTGCCTTACCAGGGCCGAGGCTGGGGGCGCAGGGGCCGAGCGCACCTCCTCCTCATCTCCGCGGCAGCTCCGGGGGGCGCGGTTCAGCCCGCGCGCGTCCTCAGCCTGGGGCGCACCTGGCGGCGCACGAGGCAGCCGGCGCACCTAAGCGCCCCGAGATGCAGACTCCGTAAGGACCGGAGCAGCCTCCAGCCCAGCTCCGGCCCCGGCTCCGCCTCCGGCTCCGGCTCCGGCTCCGACTCCGACTCCGGCCTCCGGCTCGCACGGGCTGAGGCTCCGGCGCCTCCGCCTCCCAGCCAGCCCCACAGGCCGCGTGCCCCCGCCTGCCTCCACCTGCCCAGCCCCTGGCTCCTCCCACGCCCGCTCCCACTCCCACTCCCCCGCCTCCTCCCTTAAAGGCGCCCTCTCTTCCCTTTTCCCTCCACCCCCGAGCGAATACGAAATAACAACTGCTTTCTCTTACCCCCTGCCCCCACCACTTCAGGCAAATCGTGAGGGAGAAATAACTTAAATTTGCATAATCATTAGACTTTCTCAAGCACTCCCATATCCGTTAGCTCTTTTAGTTCCCCGAAACCGCCCAGGAAAATAGGTTGATAAAAGTTAATACTGCCTTGTTTTTAGACCAAAGAAGTTATCCCGAGGCAGCTTGGTAGAAAGGAAAAGGGTTTGGATCAAGATGCTGAAGACTTGGATCCTGTCTCTGTCCCACTTCGCATTTCTGCGACTTTGGGCAAGTTATTAATCTCTTCATTGGTCTTGTTTACTTCGATACAACAAGGGGGCTGGACGGGATCAACTCTAATGTCCTTTCTAGTTTTCAATCTATGATCCTAAGAAACTGTAAACAAGTAATAGTCACTTTTGTAGTCACAGACAGCTGGGAGGAGAGGAAGCCCGACGTAGTAGGAAAAGACAGAATGTCAGAAATAGTAGGTAACAAGAATACCTGTTCTACACCATCCCCAACATATGGTCACGCAGTCTCTACCTGGAAACCTCCCGCGATGGGAATTCACTTCCTCCAAAGGCAATGCATTCCACTTTGGGACAGTTCTGTTAGGAATCCCAAATCTGCCTCTCTGCAGTTTCCGCTCTTTGCTCTCAGCTCTGTCTTCTGGGATCAAGCGAAGATTTAATAATCCCTTGTGGTTACAGAGAAACTTGGGAAGACTTGTATCAACTGATGCAGTGTAAAGTGGCCATAACCAGGAAGACCATTTCTAGGATCACAAAATTATAAAGAAAAACAACTCCGAAAGACTTAAGAATTCTGAACAATTCAATAACCAGCCATGTTTCCAGAGAGCTGATGATAAAGCACACTACCTACTTCCTGGCAGAAGTGTGATAGACTCAAGATGCAGAATAAGACAGATGTTTTCAGAAATGGCCAATGTGAGAATTAGTTTTGCTTAACTATGCACATTTGTTACAAGGGTTTTGCTTTGCTTTGCCTTTTTCAATATGAGTGGGATAGAATGAGGTTGGGATAAGGTAGGGAAGGTAGAGAAAAAATAAGGTAGGGGAAAAAGAGTTATTGAAATTTTTTTTTAAATGCATGGGAGAGAACAGAAGGAAGGCCAGAAAGAATCACAGACAAGCAAGATAACTTTGAAAGTTGTATGTTGAATTTATTATATATCTGAAGTAAGCTGTACATAATATTCCTCTTTTTTCTGTTCCATTACGTACAATGGATTTTTTAAAAATTTGGCATTAGTTAAATTCAGAATAAAATTTTTAAAAAGAAAGCCTAATCTGTTCTCCACAAGGCAGTGCTTCAAATCCTACAAGAAAGTGATTTTCTTCCTTCATCCCATAAGTCTTCTCTTCCCCAGGATAAAAATATCATTTCCTTCAACTGATAATCTTGTGGCATGGCTCCCAATCCCATCACCATCCTGATTACCTCCCTCTGGACTGACTCACTCCAGTTCTCATTCGTCCCCCACACAAGGGAGGGCTGTTTGGCAGATGAAGCAATGAAGATACCACAGGTGAAAGGTCTTGCTGAAGTTCACACAACATAGAGGAAGGCCGAGTACCTTTAGTGGAAGGCTCTTTAGACTGAAAATGAAATGATCCTGTCTCTATGATTTACAGCCTGCATGACCCTGGGTAAATCACTTAGACTCTTAGTTTTCCTTACCTATAAAATGAGAAGGTTGGGCTAGACAGCCTTCCAGCTGTAAATCTATGATCCTAAGATCTGCAATCCTGTGATCTGGGTCCAACCGCTGGCTCTATCACTTACTGCTCCACTGACTTGGGGCATCTCCTTTCTGTGCCTCCAATATGTCCTCTGTAAAATGAGGGGCTAGGCCTCTGAGACTCCTTCCTGCTCGGACCTATGTTCAAAGATTCCTTTTTTTCTCTTGTGAGTCTGTCTAGAATTTGCCCAGAATGTAGAGTATGTAAGTCCCCGGCTGTCTTTTCATGTGAGTCCTCTGCCTTATGTCCCCACTTTCATTATATATTCCTGGCTACTGGTAGGAAGTCTAGGAGATACTGGGTTTAGGGATCAGTCAGTGGGCTGGAACAATTGGTCAATAAGCATTAATTAAGGGCTTTCTATATGTCTGACCACTAAGCCTAGGAATACAAATAAAAACATAAAAGTAGACACTCCTAGCCTTCAAAGAGCTTGCATTCTAATATGGTGAGGAGACTAATACAAGGAAGCTGAAAAGCTAGGAGGGAGAAGGAGAGGTAGTAGCAACCCAGGGTTGGGTAGAGAAAGTCATGTGAAGATGAGTCATGCCTAGGGCATCCTGGAGAGGAATGAAGATTAGGTTGGCCTGGACCTCCTCCTTAAAATGGAGGTTCTGGGAGGAACCAGACAATCAGAGGGAGAACCTACAGCAGTAGGAGGGTATTTCTAATGTGAAAGGTAGTTCAGCAGAGTTCATACTCAAAAAAGGTTGGGAAACACTGGTATTGACTTAGTGTAGGAAGGGACCCTAAAATTTGTTATAACTCATATTTAGGTAACAAGGACCTGGATTGGATAACAGTTGCCATTGTTACAGTGCTTTAAGGCTGATGATGAATTCTCACTATAGTCCTCATCTACTGAACTATTGTTGTTCCGTTGTTTGTTAGTTGTATGTGACTTTATGTGACCCCATTTGGGGTTTTCTTGGCAAAAATACTGCCTTTTCCAGCTTGTTTTACAAATGAGGAAACTGAGTCAAACAAGGTTAAGTGACTTGCCCAGGTTCACATAGTAAGTGTCTGAGGTTGGATGTAAACTCAGGTCCTCCTGACTCCAGGCCTGACACTCTAGCTACTTCACCATCTAGCTGCTCCTTACTAACAATGGCTTAGAGCAAGTCACTCCAGAAAAACTCATTCAACCTACTATCTCTCTTTAGGTGCTAGGACACATGTCAAAATCTTTATACTTTCAAAAACCCTGTATTTTCCTTGCATTGACCAAGAAAGTGCACGAATCAGAGTAAGAATTGTAGATAAGTCAGACTAGATTGGATTTTTAACTAAATTCACAGAACTGTTGCAATGGATTCTGCCTTCTACATCTTCATTTTAGTAAATCCACCCGAAAGAAAAAAAATAACAAAGAAGTTTCGATTTGTCTCATCAGACTTCATTTCTAATTCCTTCTATTTCTGAGAGGCTTCTATAATTAGCACTTTTTTCTTTTCCTAAAGAATAAACCATCCCTAATACAATGTGTTGAGTAAGCACCAAACATGTGACTGCACATAGTCGACATTCCATCTTCTTCCTAAAAGACAAAAGCAAAAAAGCCCCATGAGCATCAACTTCCACCTAGGTCCTACAGGGCCTGGAGGAATTAGGGAACTCTCCTTCCTTAAAAGGAGACTTTGGGGAATTTCCCCTTGGGTGAGGTCTGGGACTCTCTTGGTTGAATTCTTACTTCACTCCAACTGAGAGAGCTCCTCTATTTTATCAGGTATAAATTCTCCTAAGTATACTTTCTCTGATATATATGTGTGTGTGTGTGTGTGTGTGTGTGTGTGTGTGTGTGTGTGTGTGTGTGTGTGTGTATGTATGTGTATATGTATGTATATGTGTGTGTGTGTGTATATATATATATATATATATAAAATTTTTTTTTCCTATTGACTTAGATAAATGGGTTTTTTTGCTTAAAAAGTAGAGGGGCAGGTTTACAGACGGGAGCAGCTAGGTGGCCCAGTGGATAGAGCACAGGGCCTAGAGAGTCAAGATTTCTCTTCCTGAGTTCAAATTTGGCCTCAGACACTTACTAGCTGTGTAACCCTGGGCAAGTCACATAATCCTGTTTGTCTCCGTTTCCTCATCTGTAAAATTTTGAGCTGGAGAAGGAAATGGCAAACCATTTCAATATCTTTGCTAAAAAACCAAACCAAACCAAAAATCAAACGGGATCACAAAGAGTTGGACACAACTGAAGAGCAAAAAGTTTTACAGATACTAATGATCCTTAACAATCCTTTGTAGAATCATAAAACATCAGAATGGAAAAGCTGATCCTATTTCATAGCATATCTAGACTAATCCACACTGAAGCAAGAATTTCCCCTACAACATTCTAAAACTGGTGGTCATTTAATCTCTGCTTGACATGAGATCTTTCCCCGAAGTCCAAACCATAACTGACTAGCTCTAATGATTAGGTGGCTCTTCTTTATATAGATTAAAATCTGCCTCTTGGCAACTTCTACCCATTTGTTCTTTGTTCTGCCCAGCGGGGCCAAGCTGAATAGACCCAATCCTTCTTCCATATGACAATCCTTCAGGATTGGAAGGCAGTTATTATGTCCCTTCTAAATCTTTTCTTTAGTCTTCTCTAGTTCAGAAGAGGGGAATATCACTTTGCTAAAGGAGTCTGGGTCCGGGGCTTTATGGAAGAGTTCCAGAATCCCACAATAGGAGAGCTGAAATGTTAGACTCTAAAAAATGGTGGAGTAGAGTAGCCCTTAGAAGAAAAAGCATAAATATGGAAATATGTTTTGCATGATTTCACATGTATAATTGATATATTGTTTCCTTCTCAGTGAGTGTGGTAGGGGATAGGAGGAAGGGAGAGAATTTAAAACTCAAAATTTAAAAAGAAAAGAATGCTAATGAATAAATAAACAGATGTGTTTTTTTTTAGAAAGAAGATAAAGGATAAAACTGAGAATATCAAAGCTGGAAAGAGCCTTAGAATATAAGACATACAATGTCAGAGATAGAAGGAATATTGGGTTACAGAAAATAGACTGTCAGATCTGAAAGGGGCCCTAGAACAGACCGTAGCTCCTCAATTTCTTTTGTGTACCCTCTGGTTCTAAACAGTCTGACTTCAACCCACTACCTTGCCCTGGCCAATAAAACCTGGATTTATCCTGACTCTAGTTTGTTCTGCCAGTTAGAACCTGCTACCCCAATATAACCAAAGATATTTTCCTGGACCTAGTCTGAGCTTCCCTCTACTTTTCACTCCCTTTTCTTCCTGAAAGCTGTATTATGTCATCTACTACTACTATTACTACTACTACTACTACTACACCACCACCACCACCACCACCACTACCACTATTACTACTAATACTAATAATAATTCTACTACTGCTACTATCACCACCACTACGACCATTATTACTACTACTATCATCTCTGTCTAGGCCTCCAATTTGCTGCTAATCTGGACTATTCACTTTTCCCTGTTCTATCCTGCCCTCTTCTGTCTCATCCATAGCATAGTGGCAAGGCCACTACTATAGTTGGACTTTGGAGTCCTGGTTTGAATGCTGACTCCACTACTTACCTATACGGGGAGTCAGGAAACCTGAGTTCTATCACCCAAATCAGCCACTTATTAGGGATGTGACTTGGGGCAAATCAAAAAGGGAAGAGGTTGGGTTGAAGAGGAAGAATGTGACCCAGGTATTGAACTCAAATCAAGAACCATCTTCTACATACAGCCTTTCCTGATCTCCCCAGGTGATAGTGCCCTCCATCCCTCACTTCTTTGTATTTATTCTGTATATATTATTGTACTTATTTATATGTGACTATTTTATCTTCTCCTCCTACCACCCATGTGGGAGAGGCCAAGAATCAGCTTCTAGAAGATGTTCCTTGCTCCCCTCACAGCTGGGTGGGAAATTACCTCTTTCAATTGGCTGGGTAGCTAGAACAGGCAGCGTCTTTAAAAGGACTGGGAGGTCTTGTCCACCTCCAGTGTAGGTACTGTGAACTGAACGGGGTGACCTTATTCTTCCTTCTCCCCTTTCTTTTTGGTCCTAAAGCCCCATGAAATTGGCTCAGGGTTTTGATATGGTCTGTTTTCATTGTCCTTTTTGGTTATAGGTGTAGGGGATACAATTCCCACTGGACCCAGATTTGAGCCCTGGTGACCTTGGGGACAAGATTCCAGGCCATCTGTTGCATCCTGCCTAGCAAGGAAGACCTGAGAAGCCAGGATGCCTAGCATTCAAGCCCAAGGCAGGGAGGGGTCACAGTGGACTTGGCACTTGGTGGGACAAAGCTTGAACCTAATCCCCCCCACTTCCCTACAAGAGGGAACAGTTTATGCCCCCATGTATTGGGGGGGGGAATGTTTGTCTATTTGTTCTTACTATGTTTTTGAAATAAATATTCCTTTATAAAAGCTAATCTGACTGTTAAATGATTAAATGGAATAGTGGCACAGGGGACCCCTAAAATTGAGGAACCACAGTCAGTGAGGGGTTGGAATCAATGGCCAAGACACTAGGCACCCCATGATTCCCCCCTTTAGAGTACCTTAGAACTCTGGGGAAAAGGATGAAATGAAACATACCTAACTTTCAGGTAGTAAAGGCCAGGGTGATACCTGTTATATTAAGATCAAACAAGATTTTTTTATAGGTGCAACTATAGCTATAAATGTATTCTGTGCCTCTCTGATGATCAATACCCAGTTAGACATAAAACAGGGAAACAAATGTGCTGTAGAGGAAGTCCTGTGAGTGCAATCTATGTGTTCACATCTCAGGATACTTCAAAGCATCCTGACCCAGTAACTTGGTGCACCATAGATTCAATAAACAAATACTTCCCAGATGTGACCTGGTTTGCTGTGTGTTGTGAAGCTATTCTTCCACCCAGGGCTAGTCATCCCCCAGCTTTTATCTAGTCATCTGGTAGTTCACACAAAAAGATCTGGCTGTGGCAATCACCCATTTTCTCCAACATGTAAAGGACCAGGCAATTGGCTTGGGTGGGGTGTATTACCCTAGCCTACTAAAGGGAGGTTTCTCTGCCAAGACCAAAACATTCAAAGACTTGCCTTTGAGCCCAGGACTGAAGTTGAATAAGGTTCCATCGCATCAGCACAGCAGACCAAAGTTGCTATTCCACAGAGCTGGAAGGGACTTCAAAGGTCAGTCAGTTAACAAGCATCTATTGAGCACTTACTATGTGTCAGGTATATGCTATGCACTGGGGATCTGGTCTGACCCCTTTCCTGAGTAGGAACTCTCTCTACAATATCCCTGACAAAAGCCCCACCAGCTGCTGCTGAAAGTCCCACAGGGATGGGCAATGCAATGCTTTCCAAGGCAACCCATTCTATTTTGGGACCGTCCAGACTATTATCAGTCTGTTAAGAGTCAACAAACAATCTCTTACTATGTGCCAGGTAGTACTGGACCTCAAGCAACTCACATTCTAATGAAGGAAAAAACATGTGAACAACTCAACATAAACAACATAGATACAGGATAAATTGGAGAGAAGAGTTGAGAGAAGACACTAGCATTAAGTGTGACCAGGAAAGTAAGTTAGGATGCTTTTCCTTATATAAAGCCATGATCTCCCTGCCTGTAACTGTTGATCATTGCTCCTGTCATTAGCTGAGCTTCTTGAAAACAGGGACTGTCTTTTGCCTGCCTTTATATCCCCACCACTTACGACAGTGCCCGGCACATGGAAGATGCTTTATAAATGATTGTTGACTTGGTTTGTTGACTAATTCTGTCCTCTGAAGCCAAGTAATAATAAAAATAAAAAAAGTAATGATAATAGTATTTATGTAAAAGGTCTGCAAAATACTTTACATGCATTATTTCATTTGATCGCCACCTTTTCTTTTACATATACATATGTAATTTTATTTTTTCACCAATTACATGTTAAACAATTTTTTAACATTTTTTAATAGTTTTGAGTTCCAAATTCTCCTTTCTCCCCTCCCTTCTCCCTGAGATAGTAAGCAATCTGATATGGGTTATACATGTGTAATCATGTAAAACATTTCCATATAAGTCATTTTGTACAGGAAAAATGAAAGGAAGAAAGACAGAGAGAAAAATAGTATGCTTCAGTCTGTATTCAGACAATATCAGTTCTTTCTCTGGAGGCAGATAGTATGTTTGATCTTGAATCCTTTGGGATTGTCCTTAGATCATTGTATTGCTGAGAATAGCTAAGTCTTTCACAGTTGATCATCATTATAATATTGCTATTCCTGTGTACAATATTCTCCTGATTCTGTTCACTTCACTTTGCATCAGTTCATGTAAGTCTTTTCAGGTTTTTCTGAAACTATCCTGCTTACTATCTTGTTTGTTTTTTTTTTTACTTAATTTATTTTTAGTTTTCAACAATCACTTCCATAACCTTTTGGGTTTTAAATTTTTCTTTCCCCTCCCTCCCTGCTTCCTTCCCCAAGATGACGTGCAATCTGATATAGGCTGTACATATTCCTATTAAACATATTTTTACATTACTGATGTTGTGAGGATGAATTAGCACCAATAGGAGGAACCACCAGAAAGAGGCAACAAAACAAAACAGAAGGAAAAAAAAGAGCAATTAGTATGCTTTGAGCTGCATTCAAACTCCATAGTTCTTTCTCTGATATGGATAGCATTTTCCATTATGAGATTTTTGGAGATGTCTTAGATCCTTGCATTGCTGAGAAGAGCTAAGTCTATCAATGTTAGTCACTGCACAACATGGCTGTTACTGTGTACAACATTGTCCTGGTTCTGCTCACTTCACTCAGCATCAGTCCATACAAGTCTTTCCAGGTTTTTCTGAAGTCTGCCTGCTCATCATTTCTCATAGCACAATAGTATTCCATTACATTCATATACCATAACTTGTTCAGTCATTCCCCAATTGATAGGCATCCCTTTAATTTCCAATTCTTGGCTACCACAGAAAGAGCTGCTATAAATATTTTTGTATATGTGGGTCTTTTTCTTATTTTTATTATCTCTTTGGGATACAGCCCTAGAAATGGTATTGCTGGGTCAAAGAGTATGCACATTTTGATAGCCCTTTGGGCATAGTTTCTCTCCAAAATGGTTAGATCATTTCACAAGTCCATCAATAATTCATTAGTGTTCCATTTTTTCCATATCTTCTCCAATATTTATCATTTTTCTGTTTCGTCATGTTGGCCAATCTGATAGGTGTGATGTGGTACCTCAGAGTTGTTTGGATTTGCATTTCTCTAATCAATAGTGATTTAGAACGTTTTTTCATATGACTATAGATAGGCTTAATGTCTTCATCTGAAAACAGCCTGTTCATATCTTTTGACCATTTATCAATTGGGGAATGACTTGTGTTCTTATAAATTTGACTTAGGTCTCTATATATTTTAGAAATAAGACCCTTATCAAAGACACTAGTTGTAAAAATTCTTTCCCAGTTTTCTGCTTCCCTCCTAATTTTGGTTGCATTGGCTTTGTGCAAAAACTTTTCAATTTAATGTAATCACTATTATTCATTTTGCATTTCATAATGTTCTGTATCTCTTTGGTCATAAATTCTTCTGTTCTCCATTACTCTGACAGGCAAATTATTCCTTGCTCTCCCAGTTTGCTTATGGTATCAACATTTTTATCTAAATCATGAACCCATTTTGACTTTATTTTGGTATATAGCATAAGATTTTGGTCCATGACTAGTTTCTGCCATATTCTTTTCTAGTTTTCCTGGCAGTTTTTGTCAAATAGTGAGTTCTTATCCCAGAAGCTGGGATCTTCAGGTTTATCAAATAGCAGATTACTCTAGTTATTGACTATTGTGTCTTGCATACCTAATCTATTCCACTGGTCCGCTACTGTATTTCTTAGCCAGTACCAAGTAGTTTTGATGATTGCTGCTTTATAATACAATTTTAGATCTGGAACAGCTAGGCCGCTTTCTCTAGCATTTTTTCCATTAGTTCCCTTGGTATTCTGGACCTTCTTCCAAATGAATCTTGTTATTATTTTTTCTAGGTCTATGAAATAATTTTTTGGTAGTTGGATTGGTATGGCACTAAGTAAGTAAATTGATTGAGGTAGAGTTGTAATTTTTATTATATTAGCTTAGCCTATCCATGAGCAACTGATGTTTTTCCAATTATTTAGATCTGACTTTATTTGTGTGAGAAATATTTTGTAATTGTGTTCATACAATTCTTGGGTTTGTTTCAGCAGGTAGACTTGTAAATATTTTATAATGTCTACAGTAAGTTTAAATGGAATTTCTCTTTCTATCTCTTGCTGTTGGGCTTTGTTGGTAATATATAGAAATGCTGATGATTTATGTGGCTTATTTTATAACCGGCAACTTTGCTATAGTTGTTCATTGTTTCAAATAGTTTTTTACTTGATTCTCTAGGATTCTCTAAGTGTATCATCATATCATCTGCAAAGAGTGATAGCTTTGTTTCTTCTTTATCTATTCTAATGCCTTCAATTTCTTTTTCTTCTCTTATTGCTAAAGCAAACGTTTCTAGTACCATACTGAACAACAATGGTGATAATGGACATCCTTGTTTCACCCACCCAATCTTATTGGAAATGCTTCTAGCTTATCCCCACTACATATGATGCTTGCTGAAGGTTTTAGGTAAATGCCGCTTATCATTTAAGAAAGACTCCATTTATTCCTATGCTCTAGTATTTTTAATAGTAATGGATGTTGTATTTTGTCAAAAGGTTTTTTTGTGTCTATTGAGATAATCATGTGGTTTTTGTTAGTTTTGTTGTTGATAGGATCAATTATCCTGATAGTTTTTGAACCAGCCCTGTATTCCTGGTATAAATTCTACCTGGTCATAGCATATTATTCTCCTGATAAGTTGCTGTAATCTATTTGCTAATATTTTATTTAAATTTTTTGCATCTATATTCATTAGGAAATTAGTCTATAATTTTCTTTCTCTGTTTTGACTCTTCCCGGTTTAGGTATCAGCACCATATTTGCACCTTCTTTGCCTTTTTTCCCAAATAGTCTATATAGCATTGGAATTAATTGTTCTTTAAATGTTGGATAGAATTCACTTGTAAATCCATCTGGTCCTGGAGATTTTTTCCTAAGGAGTTCATTGATGGCGTGTTCAATTTCTTTTTCTGAGATGGGGTTATTTAAGTATTTTAATTCCTCTTCTGTTAATCTGGGCAGTTTATATTTTTGTAAATATTCATCCATTTCACTAAGATTGTCAAATTTTTTGGCATACAGTTGGGCAAAATAGTTCCTAATTATTGTTTTAATTTCCTCTTCATTGGTGCATGGTGAATTCACCCTTTTCATTTTTGGTACTGGTAATTTAGTTTTCTTTTCTTTTTTTTTAAATTAAATTAACCAAAGGTTTGTCTATTTTATTGGGTTTTCTTTTCATAAAACCAGCTCTTATAGTTTTATTTATTAGTAATTTCAATTGTATTAATCTCTCCTTTGCTTTTCAGTATTTCTAATTTGGAATTTTTAATTTGTTCTTTTCTACTTGTTATGTCTTATAGCACAATCATATTCCATCCTAATCACATACCACAATTTGTTCAGCCATTCCCCAGTTGATGGGCATCCCTTTGACTTCCAATTCTTAGCCACCACAAAAATAGCTGCTATAAATATTTTGCTTACAACCTTTTCTAATCTGCCTTTCCCATGGCAGACCTTCAAATACATGAAGACAGCTTTCATTTCATTCTTTCACTCCCCCATTCTAAATCTCTTCTTTAGGCTAAACATCCCCAGTTTCTTAAACAAAATCTCTTTTGACATGACCAGTGGAGCCCTCACTATCTTGATTGTTCTCCTCTTGACTGCACCATTCCCCTTACAATGTGGAATCCAGAACTGAATGTAATAGTCTTGACCAGGGTAGAGGAGTGCAGGACTTCCCTGTTCTGGACAGTATGCTTCTTAGGGAGATCTAATATCTAATAATTTTAGATAATAACATAATTAGATAATAATCTAATCTATTTTTTTTTGGCTGCTATGTCACAGTGATGACTCATGTCAAGTTTTCTGCCCAAATCCAGGCCAATCCTCCATCTTGTTTGCCTAGTCTAGATGTAAATAGGAAGTTGACCCAACTGGTATCTTTCCATTTCTCAAATAAATAAATGGGCAGTAGTGATGGAAGGTGGCGTCCCTAGATACTTTTGGATGGGAGAAGGATACTATCAGCCCTCCAAGGCAATGGAGCTGATGATTCAGTTCACAGCTTTCCAGCTCCCCAGTGACTAATGCACCAGCTGTCCCAGCATAGTCAGGCGGATGTCAACTCACCAGAGCTGTGGGGCCACAGACACCAAATCTCCAAGGTATCCTGTTAAATAAACAACAACATTGTCTCAAAAGGTCAGAACTGACTTCTAGTGGTCTATAGATGAGGCAGAGATGAGGAAGGTGTTTTTTCAGGAATGCCCTCTGCGGTCCCCTCCCCACTTCTGGGTGTCTGTGGGGAGCCTTTGGGAACAGTGGCGAAGTCACCTTATAGAGCAGCATGATGGTAGGCTCAAATCTCCTCCCACACAGATTGCTACATCAGGCTCCTAGCAGGTCTTCCCCTTCCCCCACCCCCCCATCCATTTTGTACACGCTGTCAGAGTCTTTTTCCTCAAATGGATCTGATCCCAATTCACAAGCAATAGAATCGATGAATCATAAAGCTGGAAGGGATTTAAAAAGCCAGCTGGATCAACGTGTGCCTGACAGAGAATTGCCTCAACAACACCACTGACATGTGGTCGCGCAGCCTCTACTTTCACACCTCTGGTGTATGAAGCCTACGAAGTAGGTAACAAATATGGTGACCTGGAGACCTCATACAAAGAAGTAAAGTCGATACCACAGACGTTTTGTGGAATTAGGACTCAACACTGTAATATGGCTCTGGAAGGGTGTACTTTATTCAAAAGGAACATAACAAGAACCCTGGAGAGTAGCTGGTACTGAGCCATTTGGGTAAGGATTAATGGCAGTAGAAATGGCACCCTCTATTAATAGGAACTTGGTAGCCACATTAGTGCTGGAGACAGCCCATTCCACTTTGACCTATCTCCAGTTATCAAAAGATCATAGTTTTGGACCTGGAAAATCATCTAATCAAATTCTCTCATTTTATAGATAAGAAATCCTTAGGCCCACAGAGGTTAAGGTATTGGTCCGAAATCACACAGGTAGATTCCAATAGAGCTAGGCATTTGGACCCAGGTTCTCTGACTTTCTGTCAGTTAGCTCTAGGATTTGAAGGAATAGAGACAAAGCCAAAGTGACTGTAAGTGAACTACAGGATTTATTAATAATTTCCAAATCATCAGTGAAATACTCACTCAGATCAGAATATATGTGCCTCTGCCTCTCCAATATCCTTGGTCTCTGCTTTGGTCTCAGTGTCGAAAGTAAGGCTGCTTTGTAATTTGGGCAATTGACTCTACTCAGACTAAGAGATCAATTCAGAATGGACCACGTATGTCTAAGACCCATACAATTTTGTACTAAAGAAGACAAAGGCACCTGGAACATTTTAAATATGCACCAACCAGGAGCAGCTAAATGGCACAGTGGATAGAGCACTGGCCCTGCAGTCAGGAAGACCTCCATTCAAATCCGGCCTCAAACATTTATTATCTGTGTGGCCCTGGGCAAGTCACTTAATCTCATTGCCTCAAATAAACAAACAAACAAATATACACCAACCTAGAGTAAGCAGACCTTTTCAATACAACAGTCCTGAGCAAGTCAGGTAAGGCTGTACAAGGGCTTTGGATGAACTCCTTTGCTGTCAGAGGCTTTGCTAATGGATTCATTGGTTACTTTAGCAGTCCCTATCTCTAGATGTTTCCCCTCCTTCTGAGAAAGGGGAGTGGTCTAACCAGCCTACATACAATTCCAAATCCAGGACTACTTCCATAAAACCACAATGTCCTCTGTTTTTTTTTAATGCTATTTTATTTTTCCCAGTTACATGTAAAGACAATTTTTAACAATTCTTTTTTTTTTTTTAAATTGAGTTTCAAATTTTCTCTCTCCTTCCTTCACTTCCCCCTCTCCCTGAGATAGTAAGCAATTTGATATAGGTTATGATGTTCAATAATGCAAAAAATATTACCATATTAGTCATGTTATGAAAGAAGACACAGACTCAAAGGAAACACACATACACTTACACCACACACACACACACACACACACACACACACACAAATACAGAAAGTGAAAATGGTATGCTTCAATCTGTATTCCGACTCCATCAGTTCTTGCTCTGGAGGTGGATACATTTTTCATCATGAGTCCTTTGAAATTGTCTTGAATCATTGTATTTCTGAGAATAGCAATTCACAGTTGATCATCCTACAATATTACTGTTACTGTGTACAATGTTCTCCTGGTTCTGCTCACCTCACTTTGCATCAATTCATATAAGTCTTTCCAGGTTTTTCCAAAATCCACCTGCTCATCATTACTTTTAGCACAGTAATATTCCATTACAATCATATACCACAACTTGTTCAGCTATTCCTCAATTTATGTATTGTCTCCTGTTTTAAGGATATTTCCCTTACATTGGGCTGAAATTTGCCCCACTACCAATTTTCTCCATTGCACAAAGTTCCTCTTTCTAAGGCTAAACAGAGCAGATTTACTTCTTCTTTATATGCCTACTGTTATATTGCTCAAAGTTAGTTTTTATCCCTCCACTCCCCAATTCTTTTCTTGTCTAGATTAAACTTGCTCAGTTCCTTGTATATCACACTCCTTCCTCCTCTTACTATCCTGTCACTTGTTTGTAGACTCACTCCAATTTATCTATAAGCTACCTAGAATGTGGCACCCAGAAGTGATCCATATGTGGTCAGACTCTGACCAGAACTGAGTAGAGTGAAGCTGTCATCTTCCTCATTCTGAATATCATGTTCCCTCAATGTAATCATTTGGTTTAGGGACTATCTTCTTACTTTATTGACTCTTTTTCCTCATTGCCTGTCTGTTTAAATTTAGTCAGATGCTAAAAAATTTATACATGTTTAATGCATCAAAACAATTATGTGCGAAGTTACAAACATATAAAATGTTCATACATCATTGAGTAACTGAAATTTTAAAGGCTAATTCCCTCTGTCCATTATAGATTCTAATATGTTCATTCTGTTCATGTTGAAAGCCTAAAGACAGAATAAAACAACTTTTCCCGTAGAATAGGTATTTGAGATCTTGAAAAAAATTCATAATGCACTGGATATTTCTGGTGACACTTGTTCTGGGCAGAGTTTCTAGTTTGTCATATCCAATATTTCCTCATTATAAAGACTATCTTCACATTGCAAGACAATTATATATAATGTAACAATGATGCCTAGTAATTTTCTTTATGAGAAAGTTAAAAAATATGCTGACTCTTATTAGCCTTGAAGTCCACTAAAAAAAACTCAGATCTTTTTCGTATGAGCTGTTGTCTCCTATCCCATTCTGTACTTGTGAAGTTGATTTCTTAAACCCAAATGCAAGACTTTACATTTATCCATATTACATTTCATCTCATCATTCTAATGTAGTGAAAGCTCTGGACGAATTCTCCCAGAATAACTCTGACTACCTTTCTCCCTCAGGATTCTAGGTGCATCCCTGAGGGATTGGAGTATTTCTTCTCTAATACTATCAGCTTGAATCCCCATTCTGCATGTGTTCCACACCACCCCTTCCTGCTCCTTAGTCACCAGTGATTATCATCCCAGTTTCATTTAGCCAATGAACATTAGTTAGCTTTTACAAAGGGTTATTTACTTTGTAGATATGGCAAGAACAGAAGTATGAACATTCTCCCCACTCTCCAACACCTTGGAACCCTTTAGGTTGATATCAACCAACTAGTTACTTATTTTGGCAAAGATTTAATAAGCACCATTTATTATATCCCTAATAATTCTCATCATCTATTATATTTACTAGTCTTTCTATGGCATGATTCCCAGTTCTCTTACCATCTTGGTCATCATTCTGTAGGCAGGGGAGAAGCTCTGAATATTGCTGAATCCCCTCCTATACTAGGAATTAATATGGAAAAAGTAGCAGAAGGCTATTAGTCAGTTGCCGTAGGCCAAACATTTAGGATTGCAATGATGACTATTTGGGGGCAGAGGGAGGTGTGCAGAAAAAGATATAGCAATCTCAATAAAATTTCATAATTATTTAAATATTTAATCTATAATATGTTTTCATGATTTACTTTTTAATTTTAATTTTAAAAAGTTTCCATTTAACAAACAACCCCCCAAATGAGCATTTTGATATGCAAAGTAGAATAGAGAAAGAGGATTACATAGATCATGGATCTCTATTATATACAGCTTGCTTTTTAAAAAGTATATGAGAAATTCACACACTACTTTCAAAGCCATTCTTGCACATTTGAAAAAAAAACACTGACACTGTTCACTGAGGAAATTATAGACTGGTAGACTAACCACTTTTGTAGAGTTTTCTGAAATATCATCTAAACCAATGTCCTCATTTTATAGAGGATGAAACTCAGAAAGGTGAAATAATTTGCCCCAGGATGCTCAGTGTTAGTGGTAGAGTTTTGACTAGAACCCAGGTTTCCTAATGCCCATCTCAGAACACTTCTCTACAATGCCATCTATATGTTTATTAGAACCTACATTTGTCAAGAAACCCAATTTCATTGCACTTACTTATAATGGTTCCTCAGAGACCCATTTGCCAATTTAATAATGACAGAACTAATATCATATCGGTCCATCTTGGATTAAATGGAAGCAGAAAGACAGATGAGGTATTGATTGTTTGGTATAACTTTGAAAGTCAGATGAACGACCCATCCATTAGTGTCAGGAACAAGTTGTGAAAGACTCCTCCACCCTTCTCTGTTCTATTCTCAGATCCCTGCTTTTGACCTTCAATGCTACTCTCTTCCTCCTATTAATCTGTAAGACCTGCTAGGGCTCACGTTGATTACTTTACTAATGCAGGGGGATATGGAAATATTGTAGTGTGTGGCTACTTTTTTGACTAAATGGAGAGAAATTAATGAGAAACCATCTGTCTTGATGCCTTTCCTACCCCAGAAAACATCCAGTTTTTGTTGTTGTCGTTACTGTTGTTGTTTTTCAATTGTATCTGACTCTTCGTGACCCCATTTGGGGTTTTCTGGGTAGAGATACTACAGTGGTTTGCCATTTCCTTCTCCAGCTCATTTTATAGGTGGGGAAACTGGGGCAAACAGGATTAAGTGCCTTGCCCAGGGTCACACAGACACATTTGTCTGAGGTCACATTTGAACTCAGGTCTTCCTGACTCCAGGCCTCA